CTAATTGCTTTCTATAGTAATAAAGACAAAAATATTGCTGTAATTATCGGTTGGTTTGGGGTTTGAAAACAATATGAAAGAAAAATAAAATTTGATGGATATATGCCATACAATGGCATCCATTCACAGGATATATCCAACGGATATATTCATTATATTCACACAAAAATCCTTAAAATTACTGCTCTTAATATGTCTCGAAAATGTTTAAACAAAATACTGTATAAGTTATATGAATAAAATTTTCAAAATCTACATAAATTTTGAAATGAATTTTTGTATAAAAGCTTTTATTTATCATATTTTATTACAAAACATAAACATTTATATATATTTTTAAAACGTAAATNTGTCTCGAAAATGTTTAAACAAAATACTGTATAAGTTATATGAATAAAATTTTCAAAATCTACATAAATTTTGAAATGAATTTTTGTATAAAAGCTTTTATTTATCATATTTTATTACAAAACATAAACATTTATATATATTTTTAAAACGTAAATAATTTTTAAAATGTTTACATATAAATTATAATCATTATAAATAAGAGTAATATATTGTTAGATAAATAAATTGAATATTAAATTAACAAAACAATTCTTTCTATAGAAATGGTGACAAAATATTTGCCTGCAAACGACAGTTCATATTAAAAATGACATATTTTTCTATTGTTGGCAATAACTCCAATTCAGTTCACATTTCTTCTCAATTATTTCATATATTAATTTTCTTAAGGCTTTCACCGCTTAAGACCATATGATTTACTAATAATTAAGTTATTATTAAAAATGATATCATTTTTTTATTTTTTATTTAAATTATTTTATATATAATTTGTTCGGAAGATATTATATAATAGAAGTTTTGTTATAATGATTTTAAGTACAATGAGTGAAGTTTTATCTATAGTTTATTCAAAATATTTGTTGCAAAATCTTTCGGAAAGCTTTGCGGAATTCTGTAGAAAAAATACATTCAATTAATATTTGTTACATTGATAATAATAGTATTTTAAATATACCTGGATTAAAAATTGTGTAGATTAATGGATTGGCACCTAGAATATAAAATCAATAATGTATTCAAAAATATTTCAATATTCGAGACCAGTAATTATAAAAATAAACAAGATTTTTTGGGGATAAAATGTTCGCATAATTAATCAATTTTTCAATACATTTAATGCATTACATTAGAGAATGTACAGTAAATAGTGAATTTAAATCGATAAAAACCTATGGTTTGGAAAATTGGAGTATTTTATGATAGCGATTGATTGCATCAAATTCATAGACATTAATCTTATTTTAAAATTAAATTAACAAAAGCTATCTGATATACAGTATCTGATAAAAAATGTAAAATTCAGGGCTACTAATTTTGATTTATTTTTCATTATAATGCTAAAATTAACCATAAAACTGCTTTGCTTGAAGTAATAAAACTATTTATTATAGAAATTATAGAGTTATTATAGCTAAACATTATAATAATAAGTGATTTATTAGAATTCATTAAAAACTAATTGTTTTATAAAGGATCCAAAAGGGATGGCTAATCAATTTGGTTAATATTTGACACCTTATAAGTAACCCAAACTCTAATAGATTAGGAAAACGGTGTCTAAAAGTGAATGATTGCCTAAAAAGTGCACAACAAATGTAATTGTGATTCTCATTAGCAAAAAATCATTACTCTATTGTATTGTGTGTTTTATGGATAATTAAGAACTACCGGGGATTCAATGAATTTATTATTCTCTGTGGGACTCAATCATTATCTCAACTGTAAATGCAATTCATTCAATAGATTGACTCACAAATAGATAGCATTCAAGATAAACATATCTTAATCACAAAATTATTAATTTATTTCCATTCTGCGAGTAAATGATTAATTAATGAATACTTCTATTAATAGCAAATGGAAAATGGATAAGAAAGTGAAATGGCTAAGATTAGATACAATCAAATTGAGTACATGAGTGAATGGAAAGGTAGACTTACAGCTATTCATGTAGCCGAGCCAAGTGGTCAATAGGAATGCCGTCATCCCAGGCCTACAATCCGTTTTTATGAAATCATTTTCGTCTAATTTTATACAAATCGCGTCTAAGATATTGCAACTGCAAAATCAAATTACAATTTTCATATAAATATATAAATATAGTAATTATTGTCATGAATTAGTAATTTATGGCTTTAATTTCATATTAATAGTATTTAATGTCTGGGTTTTAGTACTAATCCATAAAATTAATTATTCATAAAAGTTAATGTCTTTATATAAATATTATCATAAATGTTGGATAGCATCACATATGATATAAATTAATAGATATAGAGATATAAAGTATATGATGCTAGTAGTGATGTGTTTATTATCTCTCAAACAATGCCTTAAAGCTTATTCTTACTTGCTAGAATAACTAATACATAAAATACATGTTTCCCTCAATTATGACATATCTTTAACTAATCTAAACATAATTTTCATATAAATATATTTGATATAAAAATACAATACACTATATTGTGAAACTGTACAGTAGCCTAACAATTGCTAATAACCCATACAAGCATTGAATAGGTTTATGTACAGTAATTACAAAAGGGCATTCAGTAAATCATGGATCATTGCTGTAAAGAATTGCTGACAACTTCCCTACAAATTAATTGTATATATATTTTTAGTATTGTTTATAAATATTTGATGAATATACTGTGTGATGAATGAGTTTAATTTTGCCAAAAATACTAAAAACTTTATAGACTGATCAATTATTTAAAAATTACACTTAAATAAAGCAAGAATTTATAATTTAAATATAAATTATAATAAATATTAAATGATTGATACCTAAAGAATGGAGTCCAACACAGCAGAAAGACACCTAAAATATTAATTATAATATTGATTA